ACAGCTCACAGCAACCTCCAACTACTGGGCTCAAGCGAGTCTCCTGCCTCTGCCTCCCTAGTAGCTGGGATTACAGGCACCCGCCACAATGCCCGGTTATTTTTTGGTTGCAGCCGTCATTGTTGTTTGGCAGGTCTGGGCTGGATTCGAACCTACTACCTTAGGTGTATGTGGCTGGCACCTTAGCCACTTGAGCCACCGGTGGCGAGCCCATGCTTTCATTCTTTTTTTTTTTTTTTGAAATAGTAAGAAAATGTCAATTTAATCATTTCTTTAGCAGGCAAGCAATTTGTAAACATTCAGTAGTGGCAGCATCCAAGTTACAAACAATTTAAAAAGAACCAAGATTAGTGATTATAATTTTTCCTTCCCTTTCCCCAAAAGAAAAAAAGAAAAGATTTGGAAATGAATGACTTAAAACCCTACGAACGTTGAACATTCAGTTACATCTTCAATCAGCCTTCTATGCATCCTCTCTGTTTTATTTTAAAAGATGTATCTACTCCTAAAATGCATCATCTTGCAATAACTTGCATGTGAGCGTTTGTAATCGAGGAAGTTCATGCTTTCATTCTTAATAGAGATATTACTCTGCCTTTAAGAGATCTTTGTGTAGGATTTGACTTCTGCAGAGTCCTTAGGGGCTAAACTATTCTAGGTGATTCAGTCTTTTCTGCCATAAGCCTCATGCACTTACCTACTATTGGAGAGCTAAATCCCTTCCCAATTTTAGCTGCTACTTCCAAAATGCCCACCTCATCTTCCAGTGAATTCTTAGCCCTTTTGGGTATCTTCTGTTCTCAGGTTCATAAGACAACATTCTCAATGCTTCCATCTTCTTGATCCCTCACAGACCTGAGAGCATGTACTGGTGGTTTGTCCCCACTTGCTTAAATGCTGGGGTTCATGGGGATAACTTGTCACCTAGTTTTTTTGTAGATGATGTCCATGGTGTTTATGGGTGTTGCTTTTGCTATTTACATTTTTATTTGGGTACTCAGATTAAAAAGCTAATGTTGCTGTTGCCACCACCTGCCCAGAATTCTGCTAATAATCTTAAACTATATTAACTCACTGAAATTCCACAACCACTTCATGAATTGGTACTGTCAGTACTCCCCGGCCATAGATAGAAGTTTTGATAATTTGTCCAAACTTACAAAGCTAGTAAGTTTAAAAAGCCAGGATTCTAATGATATCTAAAATTCTAGAACCTACATGTATATTCTTTATGATGATATTCACAAGACAATACATTACATATGTATGCATTTTATAGAAAATTTTCCAGGAATTTATTCTATAAAGTGAGAAACATTTCTTTTAATCCCTATATAATAAAACCTAACTCAAAGTTTGAGAAACTCATAGAAGTCCTCTAAAATGTAATGGGTCACAAAATGATAGATAGGTACAAAATCTTATAGCCAAATTCGTAAGGAAAAACTTGAAACTCTGACTTTCAAATATTACAGGTTATTGAATAGTGTAACATATGTAATTAGTTAAGTTAAATTTAATTCTAGAAATTATATCTAATCACTAGAATCATTGTATGTGCATGTTTATGAATAGGAAAAACGGCTCCCAAATTAAGTAACCGCTAATAACCTACCTGGCCTGCCTCGTGTAGGTGGAGATACAAATAAAGGCTGTACAGCATTCTGAGAAGAAACTGAAGTGGAACTACTAGTTTGATTAGCTGCTGCACAGCTAGGTAAGACTGGAGCTGGAACATTATTGGCACAGGAAGCTGCAATTGCTGCAGAATTTCCCATCACCTGCAAGTATGGAAGAAAGTTCAAAACTCTTTAAGTTTGGTGTCTCAAACATTATTATTTGCTATCTGATCCTAAATTTCAGGAAATAGTATTTTGTTCTGATAACTAGAACACTGCAAAAACAATCTTTATGTAGACCTTATATAGAAAGGTTATTTCTTTATAAGATCCCAGATGACTTCGAGAGCTTTAAATTTATAATTTATCATTTTTCTGAAAACATAGTAATGTGATTTTATTTATTTTTTTTTGGGGGGGGGACAGAGCCTCAAGCTATCACCCTGGGTAGAGTGCCATGACATCACAGCTCACAACAACTTCCAACTCCTGGACTTAAGTGATTCTCTTGCCTCAGCCTCCCAAGTAGCTGGGACTACAGGCGTCTGCCACAATGCCCAGCTATTTTTTGGTTGTAATTGTCATTGTTGTTTGGCAGACCCAGGCTGGTTTTGAACCCGCCAGCTCTGGTATATGTGGCTGGCGCCTTAGTTGCTTGAGCTACAGGCACTGAGCCAAGAAATGTAATTTTAAAAATCAAGTATCAAATTATATACAAAGGAAGTTTCTCACCCCTGCCCCCTCCATCTATCTAGTTGCCACCTTCTCCCTGAACAGGTAACTTTGGGATTTCTGGAACATTATTCCAGAGATTTGTTATATTCCTTTTTATATACATGCACATGTATTTCTCTGCATAAGCATATATATATATATATATATATATTTTTTTTTTTTTAAAGA